TTCTATCTATGTATTTATTAAATTATGGATAAACCATAGACTGTAAACCTTCTGATTTCCTTTTTTCATCTACATTCTTATGCACGAGTGAATAGACTATCTCGCTCTTACAATTTAATTACGAACATTAATGAAATTATTGATATTATATTTTACAACAATCTTCCTAATTTTGTGTATCACGCTCTTAATGAGGTTTAAGTTTCTATTTAGTTTGAGTTTTCTGTTTAATAATATAATTAATTTAAGTATTCATGTTGTTTTATTCATAAATAAATGCATCATGCATTTTGTGTATTTGTTCCAATTTCAAGCCAGAAAACTAGGCGTCAGAATGTAACCAAGAATAAATTATCAAAACGAAAAGGACTTATGGGTTATGGTAACGTTGATCGAAAGGACTGCCATTACTTTAACCCAAAGGCAATAGTGATAACTCTCACGCATATCACATATGTGACCGCCCATAACCGTTCAAAACCCAACGACCCTACCCTTTAGCCAATAATCTGCACTGGCCTTTATCAAGCTGACGAAAATGTTACTCAGCAAAAATCACGCAAAAGTCTGTGTTTTATTGAAATATTTATAAACATTGTTTGTTTAATTTTTGAGAATAATGTGACACGATTTTATTTTTATTTATTATCTAAATTTCATAAATGTTTGAACCTTTTTGTATTTTTTTTTTTTTAAAGACAATTCACACCAATTGACTGAGTCCCATGCTAAGCTGGTGAAGCTTGTGTTATGGGTACTAGGCAACGGATATACATACATATTATAGATAGATAGACATATAAATACATATTCAAACACCCAAGACCTAAGCACAACACCAAATGCTCATCACATCGATGTTCGTCTCAGCCGGGGATCGAACCCGGGACCCATGGATTCGCAGTCAAGGGTACTAACCACTAGACCAATGAGTCGTCTAAATATACCATATTGTCATATTGTCATATATCATACCTTTTTGTATATATCACTTATTCCATCTTTGGCTATATATATAGAGTAATTGTTTTTGTTATATATTTTTTTTAGTTTTGTATAATTCAAGTTAGCTTAGTTACGAAATAAATAACAAAATACTTACATACAAATACGTCATCATACAGTATGTTTGTAATAGATAAAATTTATAATTAACATATTATTATTAACACATGTATTTTTAGCGTTAAATATCATACAATTTTTTTTACACATAATATATTATAGAATACAATAGGTATACATATAAATATAAAGTTAAGTAGACCGATACAATTCCTTATTAAATATCAATAAAAAAGCCTTTGCTTAAAAATCTTTTAAATACATAATATGGTGGAAGAACCGATTTTCAAACATTATAAAATGAACGGAACATTGCGAGTATCTGCAAAATGAAGTGTAAAGATGCGGTTTTAATTAACAGGCTGTGTTTGAGCTTGGCACACGGACTGGCTTTATCTACTGTGAAGGCTCGCTTTGGACGGTCTTACGCTAAAATCAGAAAAGAATTACTGTATCTTATGGTAAAATTCCTTATAGCATTATGCAATTTAGGCTGTTTTAATGAATAATATCAGTTAAGTCCCGCTGTTTTGGCTGCGTTCGTCTCCTGTTTTCGTACCAATAGTTCGGGAGATAATCCTCTTCAGTTTTAAATTTAATGATGCGGAAAGAGATCGAAAATGGCAGTTATTCGAACTAATATAATACTACATTTGACACACATATAATTTTAATTTCCTATATAATATCAAGATGTCGAACTATAATGACGATAAAGTGTTAAAAATAAATCTGTGGCGCTACAACCTCTTTAGGTCTTGACCTCAGATTTCTGAATCTGTTTCATGATCATTTTTTAAATCAAATAATCAAGTAGGTGATCAGCCTCCAGTGCCTGACATACGCCGTCGACTTTTGGTTTCGAACAAATGTTAAATGCGCACATAGAAAGAAAGTCCATTGGTGCACAGCCGGGATCGAACCTACGACCTCAGGTATGAGAGTCGCACGCTGAAGCCACTAGGCCAACACTGCTCCATAAAAGTGTTGCCAACTAACAACGCTTAGCTTTTTTGTTAGTTGGCAACAGGCAGTGACGTAAAATATTACGACTTACATACATTATTCCAACAGTGCACCATTTGCCCTATCTAAAGAAATCCACTCAATTGAATGTTCTCGTTCCCTAGACACTTACACGCAGACGTTCCCGAAATATACTAAGGAATGACTCATGAGCGTCTGCATTCATGTCAGGTCCTACAATGTTAAAGTACTTAGCATATTTGTCCGAGGCGTTTATTCAACTACCCAGAGAATACTTGCACATATCCTAAAAAAGTGCGTGCGTACAAAGTACGTACATGTCAGAAGTGAAACAAATTATTAACTCTTGTTCATATTTATACAAATCTAAAACTTTAGATTTCCGAGACATAGAGGGAGGGAAAAAGGATGATATTATGTTAGGAATTTAATTGTTCTTAAAATATTGTGTCTAAAATGAATACAAATAATACATTTAATAATAATTTATTTCTGCGATAATAAAAGACGTGGAATTTTTATGTACAATTCGTCATTTGAGATTTCAATAAATTATTTTTCATAAAATAATAATATTAATACTCATAAATTCTCTTTACGAAATTTTAATTTTAAAAATAGAATTTCTATAAGCTAATTCACGCTTCTCACTCTCTCCCTTTTCTTCGACAAAAATGCTGCACATATTCGTGACGTCGTCTAAAATTTTTACCCTCATACGCCTAAAGAAGTTTCACTTCAAAAATATTTAATGTAGCAGACACAGAAATGTGTCTCTCTGCAATGTCTTCATTCATTGGTCACTGTATTTTTGTTTAAAGATATTAAAAACCTTACAAGTAGACGTCAGACTTTCAGCTGTCAGTTTAAATTGATATGCCTGAATTCATTAATCCTTGTAACAGGATATAGTCAGCAATATATGTAATTTTAAGTACCGTCACCAAAGGACCTAAAGCTCCTTAAGAAGCCATCGAGATTACTGCCGTAATGCGGCTGCAATCTTTGTAGGCTTAAAATTATCGTTATTACTTCCTCACTAGTGGATAGTTCAGAATAATAAATGTAAATATGTGAGGAACATGTATACTAACTCTTTTAGTATAGTAGTTTTATTCTCAGAGTACATTGTCTTCACATATAATTATTTAACTAATGTAAACAAAATATTGTAAACCTATTTTAAAAGAGTAGATCTGGACTTTCTTGCCCATTCTTCTCCACACGAAACTACCTTTTGGAAGGGGCAACTAGAATCTTCTTTGTATTTTGTTTGACGTTCAAAAGTGCCATTTTAGGTGGTCTAATTGAAATAAATGATTTGACTTTGACTTTTAATTATATTTCTCAATGTTTACCGTGTTTATCGTGTATTTTACCATTACAAACATTAGTATAAAAAATACCAGCGATTTGAATATCGTATATAACTATTTACGTACATAAGAAAATAACTGGAGTAAAACGGTAAGCCTTGAACAGAACTTCGGAGACTCCTGCGCCCTCTGTTCCAATAGCGAGAGCTATACCATTCCCGACGTTTTGATATGCAAATCCGATGTATTTCTCTTAATATCCATACCTTACGTACATACCCTCACACAATCCATTACACAGCTGAATAAGGTACTGAGTATGACTTAATTCAAATGTTATTAATAATTTTTTAAATTTTGATTATTTATTTTCGTTAATGTTTGAACCTTTTTGTTTATATCATGTATTTCATCTTTGGATATATCTATAGTATAATTGTTTTTAGTTTTATAGAATTTATGTCAATTGTTGGATTACGAAATAAATAAATAGAAGACATACTTATCTATAAAAATAAGCAGTTCCTTAAATTAAAAAAAATCATAGCCATTTATCGAAACGTTTTCGTTTCATAATACGCATTCCTATTAGGAATCCCAAACCTGTGAAACTAGTTCTGATCATGTGTCCTTGCGAGGCCCTTAAAGTCGTGATTCAGTCTGAATTCCCTATTCCCAACATTTATAGAGCGAGCTTCAATATCCTGTTTTATATAACGAACAATGACACCCCTACGTAATTAATAAGACAAAAGCAATGTAAATCCGAACTACATTTTCAATTGTCACCTATTCTAAATAATTTTTAATCGTAAGCCTTTGTTTTTACACTCTATTTCCTTTTAATACAACGCTGAGAATTGACATGATTTGTTTTGCTTTTAAGAATGATAATTTAACTCTCTACTGATATAAATAAAAAAAATGTATTGTCATGTATAAATGAATAAATTGTTGTTCGTTTGTTTAGCTAAAACTTGAGAATGGTTGGGCCGATTTAAATAATTGTGATCTTGAAGTGTGGAAGTTCAGGGAAGGTTTAAACGGTGGGAAACATAAATAATAAAGAAAAATACTAGAAACGACTATTGAATTTTCCAATAAAAACTGTTCTTGGGTTGGAAATATTTGAAGGCTTTGTCTTTTTAGAAGTAAAAAATTGTCACTGGGTTGCCATATAGTAATAGATGCATTCAGAAATTTGTGTATAGCAACTGAAGTATAAGATCCATGTATTTGGTTCCTAAAAAATTGTATTAAGTTTTAAAAATATATATAGGCCCGAAGTTCACCGGGCCATCTAGTTTATTATGTACGTATATTGTTCGCGTAATAAAACTAATATTTAATTAATAATTGCGTAATAAGAAAATTTTAACTGATTTTTAAGTCGGCTATTGCATAAAAATGTTTAGCAAATATATGCCACACTATAAGTGAAATCTAAATAATAGTTATAAGAAGTAGTAATGGATTAAACGTTAATTTATCAAACATAACTCGGCGCTCGAGTTTCAGATACTCAAATATATACAGGCATCAGAAACAACACAAAATTGCCTTCGAAGCAGCGACATCTTTAACCATGCATTAATCAAACGATTAATATCACACGCCGCATAGCGATTGGAAATGCTTAGCATGAAGAATCTCGCGCATGCGATCTGTTTAATAAATGATGCAGGTATGCCTCCCGCGTTGAATGTCCTAGACCTTACAATGCCTTCTTATTGCGATCTCAATAAAACTGGCTGAGACCGCATGCCATTCAGAATTCAATATCTCATTATTGTTTACAAATAGAATAGGCACGAGATTTTGTTTGTGAAGTATATATACAGACCCGGCAAACGTTTGCTTTGCCATGTATATTATATCTAGGAAACATTTTTTTAGTTCAATAAAAATAACTATTCACAATAATAAAAAATACGATCACGTAGAGGGGTGAAAATTAGGGGTTGTATGTATTTTTATATGCTGTATCATAAAAAAAACAAAAAAAAATTGTAAAAAATAAAATTTGGGGTGCCCACCCCTTATCACTTAGGGGTTTGAACGATAGATAGTAGCCGATTCTCAGACTTACTGAATATGCATAAAAAAATTCATAAGAATCGGTCGAGCCGTTTCGGAGGAGTATGGGAACGAACATTGTAACACTTTCTAGCTTCGCACGGGCAAATAGACTTGACTTAATGCCCTATAACCCCTTGATGGGGCAGAGGGCGACCACAATGAGTCTCCACCGCGTTCGGCGTATTTCATCTCGCTCCAAGTCTTTCCTGCTCTCTTTGCCTCAACTGAAACTGTACGATGCCAGGTTTGCTTGGAACACGCTTCCGCTTTCCTTGCGGATTCCAATCAAGCGCCTGCTTGGAGATATAATTGGAATCCCTAGCGTGTATGGCCTATCAATTTCCACTTGCGTAGCTTGATCTACTGGCTAATCAGGATTTCTCGGGATCGCTCCCAAATTTGCTCGTTAGAATTCACGGGCCAGTAGATACCCAGAATACGGCGAATACAGCGGTTGACGAACACTTAGAGCCGGGCAAATAAAGAGAAAGATACTTCGTTGTGGAACCTCACTGTTCCAATCCAGTGGCCCTACAACCTATCATAGGTTTGTTTGTTGTTTATATTTCTATAGACAAGTAGATGAGCCTTCTGTGCCTGATTTTTGTTAAAGACATGTGGATTTAGTATTTAGATTTTTTTGACTTAACCTTTACTCATTTAAAGAAAACACTTATTAACCGGATTAAAGTTATGTATTATTATACATTTACAATTATTTTCATAATTTTAAATTTAACCGACGTTTCACGTGCTTTACAGCGTGCGTGGTCAGAGACATAGAGAACACCGTGAGCCATTTCTGCCAAAACCCTCCATCTTTTAGTCGATACCAACTCCGGGGAAATAAATACAGATAATACAACTTTTTCTACAGCTGTGATACTTTTTTGACATTCAACACCTTTTGTCTTCAGTCACCGTGACCACGCACGCTGTAAAGCACGCGAAACGTCGGTTAAATTTAAAATTATGTAAAATAATTGTATATTTATAATAATACATAACTTTAATCCGGTTAAAAAGTGTTTTCTTTAGACATGTGGATTGTTGCTAAAACACATAGTCTATAATATTTCACAATAAAATCGTAAAATAAATAAAATAATTACCACAGCAAACTAGCAGTATCGGAAGTAACTTCAAGTCCAAGTTAGTCGACACAAACGTTACCGAAGTAAATTTATGCATGTCTGTGTGCTTTGGAATGCCGGTAGTGTAACACTTGCCTTACCAGTCCATAATGTTATTTGAATACTAGTTTAACCTGATCAGTAACCGTTAAAAAATATTATTCAATGCCGTAATGCAAAAATATTGAACAATTCCATATAGAAGTTCGTCACAGACTATTTGGTTTTGAATGAGGCTCCTTAAGGAAACCATTATTCTAAAAACCTTTACATTTATTTATAAAACTAGTAACATAAATTATTAGGGATGCGACAGGCCATCTCTTCCAGGCAATACTAGTAAATAAAAACGTGCATAATCAAATTAACAAAAATTTAATTTTTATGTGTTTTTCCCCTAGAATTGAGTTCACGAAAGAGAATGCGCTAAACATGAATATAATCTAGCCTATACAATAATTATGGCTAATAAGTTATATTGTGTTGACTTAGTCTACTAGTGAATAGCTTAAACTAAGGTATTGTTCATTAACAGTCTTAGTGTTCTATAGTGTTTTGACACTATGTTCGTGTGTCCGAGATACGTTAACTTACACTACATTAAATTACAAGTAACACTGAAAAACTATTCAATTACCTAACTCAATCTAAAATCAAATAATAAAAAAAACATCAATCATCGTTCATTTTGTTGCAATACAAAAGAAAAAGAAAATATATGAATTACAAGTCACGATTGAGAAGAGTTTGTAGAAGACTTTGAAGTGTGAATCTATCACTCATGGTTACCAGGGAATCTACGACTCATACATCGTCAACACTGGACACTATAGGACAGGCGCCAGTCAAACATTTATCCGCGGATTTTCTCACTTAAGGTAAACATTTGAAACAGGACATCAGAAACAATAAATCATTTCTCCGAATTTTAAATTTAGACGCAACCTTGGTCATTAGCGCGTTCTTGAAATACTGCAGCAATATATCGTACACGAGTTTGTCCTGTGGTCGGATCATAGACGTGAAATCATGGAATAGCCAGCTAAAAGTGACCATATTGTAAAATCATCAATTAACGTAATCATCGTTTAGCTCTTCCGTTATAATATAAAAATAAAAGCTTCACATTAAGCCATATTTGGTTTCGCCGGATTCTTATTTTATAATAAGGGTTGCAATATACCCTCCTAAGTTCCTAGACGCATATTCATCACCCACCTATTTTATGTCCCAATCCTATGAAGGTACTAGTTCCGGAACGGGCTATAGGTGGCGCGCACGATGATGAGTCTCCAACAAGGATTCATTATTAGTGACAATTTTGATGACCCGCGATATGGTTCGTTTTGTACGCCGCACGCGCGCAATGCTTTTGTTTTTTTAAACATTTAATTTTTATTATAAACTTTTAACTATATTTAAATTCTCTTAAACTTTTAACTTGATTATACTTTTGTGAAAGTGTTTGTTCATTGAGGTAAAATAAAGGAATTTAGTCACGAGAAGCCACGAAAGAAGCCACAAGGTTGAAGGTACTGTGCCGACATCCTTTCTTTCTTTCCCATTTGTCCAAATATTGAGCAATCATATTAGGTATAAAGAAAATACAGTCCACAATATAAACAATTCAAATAACTAGTTTTAATAGGTATAAAGTTTTATATAGTAACAACCCGCGCCGCCAATATTTTTATATTAACTAATTCGTTTGTCTATATGAAAAAAATCTTAATCAATCTTTTATATACCTACAGAAGTCAGTCTGAATTGTTCATTGTGGCAAAAATTTACAGTGATAGAAAGACGCCAATCATTTCATAAAATGATCAATTTTACTAACGGGCTACAACATAAGCATTACGTCTCACAACCGGTTACAACTCAGGATAATTTATTAAGTTATGAACGATTACTTGATGTGAGATGATAAAAATATCCTTTGATATCATCCGTCTTAATAATCCTAACTTAGAGCTCTGTGTTCCAAATTTGAAAATTCCGTGACGAAATGATCCGATCACGTTTTTTCATATCAAAGCTTATTTGGCTTATTTCCAAAGGGTATTTATGTAATAATAATACGAAAATAATATATTTAAATTAATACGTAATTTTAGTACTCTTCAAGCTGTCTTTTACTTTCCGTTTATCGCGTAGTCATAAACAAGACATCTAAATATTGCAAATATAACAGACTACTGCGAAACGAGTCATAAAGATAATAGTGAAAAGGTAATTCGTAAGTAAAACATCTGAGTAATACTTTTTATTTTTGTTTTTCCCTGGAGAGATTACTTGCTTATTACACATTAACTTGATGACGGAGAGAAACGCGAATGAGCAGAGTTTTAAAGATAAAATATTGTATTTCACATTATCTCTGTCGATTTTATTATGCCTCGACTAGGGATAGTTTAATTCACATCGGAATGCCCTGGCAATAACCTATTTCTTTTCAATTGGTATTAAATGTAGGAAACGTGGATAAGCTGGCGTTGAATAACAGCGTATTATTTGTCAGTATCAACTTGCCGTGCACTACTAATCGCCTTTCAGCTACTTTGTTAATGACAGGATCGATTGTTTTTATTGAAAGCCCCTTTGTCTATCGACAGACTATTAATATATTCGTGTGTTGTCTGTGGCTATTTTGCTGACCACTTCGTTAAAAATGATTGCTATTCGATTTTTATATTCTAATCTAAAAGTTTTAATTGATTTGTTTTGTCTATATGTCTTATATATTTTTGTACATTGGTTGCCTGGAAGAGATCGCTAGTAAGGGGAAAAGGCGCCAGTCAAAAGTTAAAAATCATTTATTCAAATAGGTAACACAATGTAAACTTATGAACGTCAAAAAAGAAATATAAATGCTTCTAATTTTACATTTACTGCCAGTTCTCAAATCAAGGGCGTAGAACGAAAGAGAAGAACTGGCAATAAACTCTCCGCCACTCTTTTTTGCCCTACTTTTCATTTAATTATGTCAACTGTATTATATTTCTGTTTGCAACGAAGTTTAAATAAATAAATCAATTACTTTTTCGTTTGTTTCAGCCGAGGGAAGCCTGTCCGATTTTGCGTTACGCAAAGTCCACTACACGGCGCAGAACCCTCTCAAGAAGGAGCTCTTCACAGTGGATTCAAGGTATTTAACCTATTATCTATCATAGAAATAGTTCGAAACTTTTAGTTATCGATTTTCGATAAAACTTTTATGTTGAATTTCAAGTTTTAATATATACCATGTCTATTCCATGTCACTGGTGAGGCTTATAGAGGTTTTCAGGTCATATTTTTAGCTATATAACGAAATATACCACTAATTATAAATAATTCTAGAGCCTTATAATAGAAATGACTACTACTTCTAACTGATTAGAACAAACATAAATATGTATTGTGGTATTTCTTGTGAAAGTAGTTGTATTGCGTTACACTGTAACAAATCATGATAACCTGATTCCCAGTTTTATTGTTAGATTTAAAACTCGTGTAATAAAATCGTTTATGCAATCCAAAGCTCTGTAGCAGAACATGCTTGTTGGTTTTTCTGAGGCTATATAAATGTTATATAAATGTCATGTAATTACTGTTCTCCTAGTAAACTATAACAATTCTCAAATGTATGAAAACCATTTTGCTGTCAATGACGGTCGCTATTTAATCGAATGAGATACTTTTGGATTATTTAAACATCACTTAGTTCAGTACTCAATATGATGATGATATCAATTTATTCCTAATAGGAAAGGCAATGGACTTTAGTCCATACAGCCAGGTCTTGTTCTTGGTAATAATTGGAGAATTTTAGTGGTTTTAGAGGCCGAAGCCACGTCTTAGTTAGGAGTCCATCTTAGAAACCTCTTCTTGCACTCAATATGATTCAGTAACGACACTAAGCGCTAAGTCCAATTCCCGTACGTCAATGTATGTATGTCAACATGTATTGAATTTTGTCATAGTTCCTGAAGAACTAACAAACCCGCACTATGGGTAAAATTCAGAGTCGAGTCGAAACTTAAAGTGCCGTATTTAAAAAAGGAATTAGGTTTTGATAAACCGGAGTCCCCTGAGCTTAGACCAGAATTTTCTGTAAATTTTCAGGCCTACACACTTACGCAAGTTGTACGAGAAGGCAACCACCGACCGCATTTCAGCTTCCATACTTGACCAGCTCCGAAAAGACTCCCAGCACTCGCCCTTTTTACTTTGCACTCCCGTGCTTAGTACTAAGAGAAGACGTGACAATCATAGGGTTGATGATATCGAAACGCGAATCGTGAGTATTCTGCCATTTTAATATGTGTACATATAAAGGAGTCTAGGGTTGTGAGGTACGGAACGCTGATGATCTTCTTCTACTTCAAAGCCCTCGTTAAACGGAAATTAATCAATAAATCTTTTTATAAATTTGAGGAATACTTAAATGATCCTCATGCTTGGGATTGATTTGCTCCAGTTCAAACAATTTGTATGACAATTGGCGATTAAAAAGAATGGCGGAAAGTTTCTTGCCAGTTCTTCTTACCCGCTCTACGCCCTTGACTTGCGAACTGGTAGTAAATGTAAATTTACAATTAATTTAACTTGACAATTCATAAGTGTAATTGTTTACCTACATGAATAAAGATCTTTTGAGTTTGAGTTTGTCTATTAATGAAAATTGTCAAGTTCTTGAAATGACTAGTTGGTTTTATCTACCTACCAGCTGGTAGGCTCCGTCAGTGCAATTGCATTGAAACAGGTTTTTCAGGCCTAAGTGTTTGCAAAGTGTATATTTAGATAATACTAAAATAGCTTTAATACCCTTTTATAAAGATACGTATTGATAAATATATCCAACCTCACAATGCTTTCAGCCGTCAGTCGTAGAACAGCTTCGGAAATGGACTTCACGCGAAGCGATAGGCGACGTGACGGCTCTACCGGACGCTTCCATGAGAATAATCAGCAGCGTCACGTTGACGCCGGATGAATTGTCAGAATGTGGTTCTGGTGATGATGAACCTATTGATCATCGACTCCCGAGCCCGGAGGAGCAACTACGAATCATTGAGTCTAAGTAAGTCTTAGTTATTAGATTTGAGAGAATTTAAAAGAATTAAAGAACTACAATTTACATTTAATACCAACGTATAATTTCATGAAAAAGCTACATTAATTAATAATTTAGCTGTTGTTTATTATTTTTTTCCAGCCTATATATAAGTTCTGTCAAAGTGGTTCAACTTAAGATTAAATAGTTACTTTGTAAACAGTATGATTGGAGTACCGAATTTTATACATACATATTTAACTTAAAATGCCCTTTTTTGAAACCCAGAAAGGGCACAACAGATAAAAACTGTCAGGAACCATAAACATCGTCGTCTTTAACGTATAAGGGATTCTATTTCTCAAGTATATATTATGAGAAGTTGACTTTCAAGAAAATCAAATAAATTTACTATAAATAAAACCTTTCTCATTCATTATAGCAGAGAAATTAACACTGTACTTGTACAATGTACGTTGAACGAATGAGGTATTTAAATATTGTACTTAAGTATTTTATACTAACTATTACAGATTCTGTCCAGAGCTGGTGCCGATAGATACGTCAGGGAGATTCTTCGACAGAATGTGCACTTCACGAAAATCTCTTCACGTAGAATTGAGTACCGGTGAAACGGACACCGTGAAACGACGGACCCGCACCAGAAAACCTCGGGGTAAAAGACGCAACACCATTTCCGGCACTGATCAGAAAGAGCTTAGAGAGGCTATCGCTGGGTAAGCTTTTAGTTTGCACAGAACATTTACGATTATAATATCTATCAAGTTACTAGCCTTCCATATGGCTAATACTTTTAATCCAGTTACTTTGGAGCCCTTCAAGTATTACGTAACTTTTGCTCTTGTCAGCAAAAGTAAGCAAAGCTTTAAAATAATAGAACATAAACGTATTCATTTTTTGTAGAAATCCTCGTTAGTGAATTTCGTTTTCAAGCATAGACAATGTGTAGGTATAGTAAAAAAGTATATAATTACTGTTGACGCAATCACAGAATAAGAAAATCGAAGACCCCCCCCTAGCCACCCTATAGTACTTACGTAATACTTGAACGGCCCCTTTGAAGTAATAAAAACCAGATATTATCATCGTAATGGTCATTCTAATAAAAATAGTCATTTAAAGCACAGTATTGTGTGAGAGCTTAATATTAATTTTAATTGTGAGCACTTTAACCTGTTAATAATATATTTGTGCTTTTGTGAATACATAATTTTTAATGTTGTCATTTTTCACTCCTTAATTTAAAAGTTCAATAATATCTCAACGATAATACACTGTAACACCAATAGTGCCAAATTCATTAGCTTCATAATTAATTACATCTTTAAAGAATTCAGCTGTTACGAGACCAAGCCGAGTGCTTTAAAGACTTTATTACTATACTGCCTTTAGCGTGTGACTAATGCTTTGCTTGGTTTGTTTTATCATAGTGATACATCAAATGCCGTGGCTTCTGAAGAAGTTGAAGATAGTATTGGCATGCGGTCGCGATCAAGTGATTTACTTAAGAAGAGCCCGATTGACCCAATTATTAAGAAGGGACATTTCAATAGCCTAAAACAGTGGGGAAGAAACAGACTAAAAATGATAGGTCGGTCTCCAAGCGCCAGTCGAGATAGTTTTAAAGAAAGCTCAAAAACTGATAGAAGCAGAGAATCTATGTCTCCCGTTGCGCCGGAAGAAGTACCAAGTAAAGAATCAACAGTTACTCTACGGAAAAAACGGGCAGGAGATGACGACCGCCGCACTCACCAGAGATGTGCTTCCTATTCTTCATCCGAAAAGAGTATTGGTGTACCCTCTAGTGCTCCAACGACAGCGACAATTAATTGTGGTGTGAAGTTAAGAGGAACGTCTACACAAAGAAGGTTAAGACGATCTGGTACGGGAAAAGAAGAACCACATTCATCTAGTGGAAATTGGTCTGCTAGTTCCGAATCAGGCAGAACGAGTATTGGCTCTGAAATAACGACAACAACCGTTCCCCCTAAAAGTACCACATCGGCTGGTACTTCCAACAATTCACTTAACTGCCACCATGGTCCTCCTAGCTCCATTATCAGCAGAAGAAGATTTCTTAATACTTCTGGTTCGGGAAGCGTTACCAGTGAAGGCACTCTTACTCCCGATATAATTCATGATTTACATGAAGATTTGGAAACAAGCTCTGAATTTTCCTGTGACACAGAAGGTTATTATACTTCTTTTCATATGGATTCTGGTCTTAAAACTCTTAAAGAGGAAGAAATATCTCCTAGCACGCCCCTACATACCTCAACCGCTTTATCCTCTAATTCTTCAACCAGCCAAAACTTAACCGCCGAGAATGAATATGAATTATTTGGTAAAGGCTCTACAAGTACAACTACTAGCTCAGCTGGCACTGTTTGTACCACTCTAATGGCAGCTGGTAGTGATAGATCCTTGGCTATTGGGCCTACTGTGCCTGAAAGGAAAAGTTCTTTAACAAAGATGAATAGGAATAGAAGCAATAATATTCACAGTGCAAATGCAAGCTTAGAAAGGAGTTCAAATTCATTTACTAAATCACCTTTCAGCAGTTTACGTTACAATGCAATGAGGTCATACACTGATAAACATATTTACAACCAATCAACGCCTGAAATTAATGATGTACCAAATTCTACTGTCACAATAACGAGAGGTATAGGTAACAATCGAGAAATTACCGCAGTAGCCGAAGTGCATACTGAAACAGAGATAGAATACGCGAAGAAAAGTACAGGAACCAGTTCACCTGATTCTGGTCACAATACATCTAGTTCTCCAATCGAGGATTCCGTTTCCAGTGCTCACGGTAAAAATAGCCTTTCGGAACAAGATTACTCTGAGTCTTCAGACCTTGAAGGTACAGATAGAATAGAGAGAATTCGATACAAAACAACAATTAATAGCTCGCGTATCCCGTCTATGTGTGTGATAACTCCCACTAATTCTGACGATGAAGGAGAACCAAATCGTAAAGAATCAGTTCAGACCAAAAAGCAACACACAGAACGTCACAATGAGAATATTATGGTTAAGTCTCAAAGTAGACCTAAATTGGACATACCCTCTGAAGAAAAACAGAAAGATCATAAAAATGTCGATATTGGGAAAACAAATAAAACTTATCAAATAAAGTCTTCTTTGCAACCATTCAATAATTTAATGTGTAAACTAAAAGGTGTCCTCCCAAATAAATTATCTAATAAAAAGTCACCAGTAGCGAAAGGAACTGAAAACATTGAGGACTTCTTTGATACTGGGGATTATGTAACTATAGCTGACGTAAAAAATAATAATAAAAAAATGAGCTTTAATAGGGGCAATTATGTTAATAACGATGTTATCGGCAAAAATCTGCAATCAGTATTATCCGGAAAACCTGAAACTGAATACGTATCATTAAATGAACTGCCCAACTGCTTAACTACCAGCAAGGATTATTTAGACCATAGTCTTGAAGAAAAACCATTAGAAACGTTAGAGGAAATGAAGAAAAAGGGGGCGAAGGTCACTTTAGATTCCCATGGCCAAGTAATTTATTCATCCGATACTCTAAAAAGAAGAAAAGGCGCCCATACTACATTTGAGCCAGGACCATTTGTACAAGAAATATCCCCAACTACCGCAGTTATTCAACGAGAGAAAGCTGACATAATAACTGTAACAGATGAAACTGACTTTGGATATGATCAATTATTACCATCGAGCAAACCTACATCTCCACAACTAGGGAAAATGATCATCAAAGCACCATCAGAACCTCATGGGCTTGTCACGACAGAATTTGTTACATTACCTCCGCCTAAACCAAACACTATCATTACTGCTACACCCGTAACAGAAACACCCACTCTCACCAATACCCCTTCCGCGGCCATAACTAATAAGAATGCAGATCTTCCCCGAATTGTCGAAGCATTAACTAGAACAGGAGCCTATGTAAATATTCACGATGCAGATGGTGTCAGCTTATCGCCAACGAAAGATGATAATCCAGGTAAGAATCATAATTTTGATTTATCAAACAACATTGTTTGCCTTGGCTTAGAATACAACGAACGGTCTCCCAGTATAGGTGAAGATATTACACCGTTTGTTCCCAACTTTCAAACGCCCAATATCCTTAGAGCTAAATGCAGTCACGATTTACCTAGGTTAGGTAGTAATAAAGTAGCTGAAGTTATGAGATTATTTACTAACAAAACACACGATGAAAGTAATAACTCTATGACTAAAAGTGATCCTGATGATTCTTGTAGATCAATTACAAAAATAAAACGCAGTGATAGTTACAAATTAGCCAATTCCCCCTTAATGCCACTCAAAAGATTATTCAAACTAGACAGTTTCAGTAATGGTGCTAAAAAGGTCAACTCTTTTGAAATGATTCAGGCAGAAATTACAGCTGATTTGCTTCGGGAACAGATAAATTATCCAACAACGGTGTCCCCTAAACCCAATCATAGACAAATATCGAAGTTGTACGAAAACAACAATTTTGAGACTGAATTGTCGGCCATGACCTTCAGCCCGCTAACTACTCCCTTAGCTAAGAGGCATTCTGTTGCTTTAGTACCTGACAATAGAGACAAGGCATTAGATATGCTAACAGCTATACTAGAATCGGATCCCGATAATATTTGTGTCCTACATTCCCCTCCTTCATGTCCTCTTTCACCGAGTAAAGTCACCTTACCTACCGACTCGACTTTACATAGGGCACGAATATTATCGCTTTCAGAGACTGAATACGGCACTGAAATTTGGTAGTACTATCGTAAATTACCTACTTCTTAGTACGCTTACAAGACTTTCGTAATATGACCTTAATTAAAGATCGAATAGAAGATAGATATTAGTTATAGGTATATAATGAACTTATGTGTAAATAGGATACACTTATTCATAATATCTTCCGTCCGTAGTTAGACTTAAAATTAAGCCGTCTTCCTTGCCTACGTATTTCTTTGTTCTGTGATTATTATGTTGCATAGTTATAATATATTTGTCAATTAAAGTTGGTAATTTGTGAAAGATTTTATTTTGACATTTTTATTAAATATTGCATGCGGACTTTTGTCGCAATGTGCACAGCTTTAGAGTGTCAATATTTGTAAGTGCATGGTGTGATATTCTGTATCTTTTTGTGTTTTTGTAAATAACGTTTTAAAAGAAAATATAATATTTTTGCACATTTCATTGATTTTTCACTCCTTCACCCCACCTCATTTATCATTATATGCACAAATCTTGAGAAGTTTTATTAAAATATACTTTATCATTATAGGAAAAGTTGCCCATTATTCATAAAAATAAATCAGTGTAATTGCACCGTCTTAAATAAAGTACACTTAATCGTTTCTTCATCAGAATATAAACACAATTTGACAAAATGCGAGTTAATAGAGTGAGTTAACCTGATTTAATTTTTATCTATAGGGGTTATATCTATAAAGCCATATATAAGATGATAAAGGCATATTAATAGAACTTCACTACATAAGTGACCTACACACTTTAACTTCGGAATTGAAAATACATTTTCAAATGTGACTAATGAGATTGGAAATAACACAATGCGAATATAAAATCGATTTCAATTTTGACATAACACCACTAATTGTGAATTAACAGTTAAACAAATCCTTGAGATGGGAAATGATCCGATTTTATAAATTTTTGATATCGCTTTTGCACAGTGAGCGAGACTGCTTCAAATGATTACGAATATTACGAGTACTTCAAAGGTAAAATTTTGTTGCTTTTTGGCATGCCATTTAATAAATTGCACGAGTTAACATGGGTTCAGGACTAACTTTCTGTTATAAGCTTCGGCTTATGACTAATACGATTGTCATAACACAAACTCTAACAATTAATTCCCTAATAATTAGTATAATTTGTCTGGTTAATATAAAAAGAATAAAATACCATGCACTTGTGTCAAACTCATTCAGAGAAGTTTAAATAATGTGTTTCTAGTTTTAATTAATGTTTTTTTTTTAATATTTTAGTATAAAATAGCTTTGGGACTTTACGTAATTATACTACTTTATAAACTTTTAAATATAAAAGTGTACGTTAGTAAATTATTAAATAACAAAAACTTTTAAATGACTTTTGCTAATGCTGATTTGTAACGAAATTTGTAATCTTTCGTGTAAAAGTACTGACTGCACTTCAGGTGACGCGGAATTTCGTGTTAATTTTTTAGGCCACTTAAAACATTTTAATGCAGACATAGTCAGTTTATGAGGTATTCATTTGAAAATTAATATATACAAAACAACTACCTACTAGAATCACAAGACGTAAATCCTAGAAAGTCTTCAAGAAAGTAAAAATCATCAATCAAATTACTATACCAAAAAAATACTACCTTACTATGAAACGATAAAAGTTTTTGTTATTTTTTATATTATGCACCGTATTATGGAGCAAGCTTCGCCTTTAGTGTATATTTCTTTACATTTATTACGCATTACAAGATGAGTAGATATGTTTTGATAACAAATGCGATGTCATAAAAAATAAAATTAATGCTAAAACCTCAATTTTTTTTACTATTACAGAATATCTACATTCCAATGCTGACAAACCACTGCTCAACGGAACGCAGACTTTACCGAGGCACAATGGACCTACCGTAGATTTAAATACTCTTTCTTCAACTCTACGACCTAATAATGTAGCTCACCTTAGCGGTAAACATGGTGTCATAAACTATAGTAATAATGTACCACGTGGAATAGAAAAACAACCACCGAAATTTTGGACGCTCCCAAAACGCACAAACCAACAAGACATTCATTCAAATTTTAATAATCAGAGAACCCAGAATTATCCAACGGCCACAGATTATCAGAAAAAAACTGAATATCAGAGGCAGTTGCCAACTCAGCACGAAGATTCAATAAAAATATCGCCAATCGATCCTAGAGCTTCTACAACATTTAAATCATCTACTCCCACAAGTAAAGATAATGTAGTGGATCTTACCTCCAAGCTTTTGTCCCCAGTAAAATCTACAATGACTAATGAGGAACTCTATGCAGTGATACATAAAAGCAAAAAGAAATTGAATATTAAAGAAATGCCAGAGAGAGCAGAGTCTCCAGCTTTGTCTACAATTAGTTTATCGCCTGTTAGTTCTGAGACATGTTTATATGGAAAAGGCACTCAACGCCATCCAGAGACAGGATACTTGGGGGATCCTAGAAGTAGAATGTCTTGGTCACCTGCAGATAAAGTGACTGGCTCCCCAACTGCTGGGTATTATGGAGCGCCAAAGCAAGATACCACCTGCGCAGACCGTCATGGTCCTATACAACAAACCTCAAGACTAGATTTCAAAAAGTTATTACTACAACACAGCGTAAAATTAAATACACTACCTCAACAAAAATCTAATAAATTATCAGCAGTAGAGCAGCTAAAGATATCAAAGGAAAAAGTTCAAGCCCCAATGACACCGCCAGGAAATAGATCTAAGATCAATATTCTTGATCTTAGTTCATCACCTAAAATATACAACCAGAGGAAAGTTATAAAAATTGGCAACCATCCCTCATCACCTGGAAGAGCCAATGCTTTGTTGAAAGATCATAAAAACGCACCAAAGATACTACTTTCACCAAAATCTCAGTGGCGCTTCTCCAGTCCAAGATCTGACGTCTTGTCAACGCCGATACCAGAAGCAAATGAGGAAACTTCTAACAGTTCAGGTGAAAGACGTGATGTTTCTCCTGTGAGCCCACCGTCAAAAACAGTTCCTATAGTTACTAATCAACATTTTGGTGCACGAAGAAATCTCATCCCCATAAGAGAAAACACAGATCCAGAAGCTAATGCACTCAATACTATTCATCAAGGTGTATTTCCACTTAACAGTGAATACTCTCCTTCACAAGGTCTCTCTAGAACTGAAATATTGCAAGCAAAGCGAGCAGAATTTTTCAATTCACCTCCAGAATCATCTCAACCAGCATTGTCTTCATTTAAGAAACCAACACAAGTAACAAGAAGCAAAGCTTCTCCAGAAAGAGGCAATACTTCGCCTTCTACTTTAGAAACAGCATTATGATAATAAATAAAAAAATAACATAATTTTAACATTGGTGCTTAAAGCGTCTTTTATAAACTTTAATAATATGTAAATATGGCAAAAGGAAATTCATAGAAGCTTTATCTAGTCTTTTCTTGCTTAAAGTGCCACTAATATCGGCATGAGCAGTAGTTATGTAGTCCAGTGTTCAATTCATCTGTGCACGATTTAAATATGTTTCCCTGTAATTTTATTGCCGCTCTTATGGGGCCAATTTTAATTCTTAGTAATATTGTAAAAATTCCATACCTAGTAACAAATTAGTTTTAAGTATTTATTGAAAGATGTAATGTTTTGAACTTTTAAACAGTTTTTAAGTTATTTGGAAGACAGTTTTAATTAAATGTGTTGAATAATAAATATGTTTTAAATTTTAATCCTACCATAAATAAATCAATCAATTACTTATAGGTAAGTGATAGAGATATCTCTATATATATATTTAAAATTCTCGTGTCACAATGTTTGTTTCCGTACTCCTACGAAACGGCTCGACCGATTCTTATGAAATTTTGTATGCATATTAAGTAAGTCTGAGAATCGGCTACTATATTTCAAACCCCTAAATGTTAAGGGTGGTCCGCCCCAATTTTTTTTATGATACAACATACAAAGAATACCTTTTCAGAATCCCTATTAAATGCGCCAAAACTTGTAAGACAGGGTCACTTTTCGGTAGAGTATTTTTTTTCACAGTGGGGTCCGAAGTAAACAAAAAATTATGATTTCAGAAATTCTTATATCGTATAACTTAATATTATCTTCAATACACTCAATAAACAACTATAAATAGATGACTAACGCAAGGACTCCTCAGTACCAATCTAGAAGATATTATGAAAAAGATACAGGTGTAGATTTTTTCGAATTTTAATAAGAATTAGTAAAAAAAGTCAATTTTCTTATAAAAACGAAAAATAAATCTGCAGGGGTTGAGCTTAGGGACCTCCCATAGAACAATTTTTTGCAGCTGATGACCTCATCTATCCCCTAGTTGCATTTGATCCACAACTTTTTGACCACCCTGTATATATACCTAATTATACTCCATCCAGTAGTAAGTATGATAGTTTAACAGTATTTAAAGTTTATAAAACAGTTAACCTGGAAGTGTTAGAAGAACTACTAGAGTATAGACAACCAAATTATAGAATCTGTGCATGCTTAAAAGCAGAAACTATTTAGACTACCTATGACATAAATATATCTGACATTACTTGTTTGATGTTATTAATTTACCTTAATTTCTGCCACATACCTAAATATTTTTAACTTGATGTACATGAACAAACTGTGACTCATGAAGTGTAATAGCTGCACCTCCTCAGACTTTTCCATGAGCGTTGAAGGTTGCTCCTTGAAATTAAGAATTCTAACATTGGTTGTCAATACCGGAAACATGATCAATGAGAGAGCCACACCAACATTAGGCATGTCACATGCATTAATTGCACCAACTGCTATTGTTGTTACCTACATTGTTGTCACTATTTTTATTATTGGCTCACTTAAACAACAGTATCCTTCATGGTTTCTTCATGTGTACACCCTTGTTAGTTGCTGCATTGTCCAAACAACATTATCATTTACAGTATTTAAGGCACTGAGAACTTCTGAAATAGCAAACAAGCATCCTGCCTTAGCATTGAACGGAGTTCTTCCAATGATAAATACAGTGCTGCTGATTGTTGATTTAACAGTTGTTACATTATCCAGCCGGAACGAAATAATGCCTTCACCTTCCTTACGCAGTTCTGGACCAATGTCTCATATTGAATTACAAAGGCACAGTTAAGAAAGCAGTTCTTTTATTTAACTAAATAGCTCTTATTTTTACTCTGACTCCATTGTAGTAGCCTTAGAAAGTGAAATTGGTTTAGATAGGTAGGCACTGAAAGTTGATTGTCTGCTTGCCCTTAAATGATTATTTAATATAAATGGGGCATACACACTTGTGTATACCCCATTTGGGTATTAAACAATTACAACATTTTAACTTATCAGACCGCCAAATTAAAACGATCACTACCATTTTCAATTAGACTGCTTCAAAAACAAAACAATTTAAGAGAATTAAAACAAACATCTAAATTAAACTATGTAATGTTTATTTACACAATTTTCAATAAACTAATCTTAAAAAAGTATGAAATAGATAATATGTAGAAATCTATTGAGACTATATTAAGTTGCTTTAAAAGCAACACATTATACATCACTTAAACAGTCTGTCCCTATTTTTAGTCACTACTTGTTCATACCAGGAGGTCCATTCATTAATGGAGGTCTCATTTGACCCATAGGTCCCATAGGCCCCATGTGGCCCATGATAGGTCCCATCATTGGAGGGCGCATACCCATCATAGGTGGCATTGGTCCATGTGGGCCCATCATCATTGGAGGCGCCATTGGACCGCCCGGACCCATGGAAGGTGGCGGAATCATACCAGGTGGTCCTCCCGGGGCTGGTACTGGTTGTCTTGGTCCGCCAGGCCCCATTACTGAGGGATCCCATGGTGGTGGAATAGCTGCACCCTTACCACCGAAGGGATTTTGCGCAATTTTACCTGCCTTAAAAGCAGCCGTAGTAGCATCGATCAGATGTTGAGCTTGCTCCTCCATCCACTTTTGATAGAAAAATTTAACATTATCTTTATGCTTACGGCCAGTACAGTGTGTTTTTCGGACGCTAGGGGAGTCGTGTGTCAAATATGTATCACAATAATCGCAATAATACTTCGGCATCTTAGGAAATAATGTTACTGGTGTATTATTTAAGATGTAATTTATATATATTAGTTTTCCAATAAACAGGGATAATTTGCACTTCTGATTTGAATAGTATTAAGTAAACTACAAAATACAATTAAAGTATTTAACAATAAACACCACGAGATAGCGTACTCAAAAGTCAAAACTTTCAATTTTTTTTTTTTTTTTTAATTTTATGACCTCGGGTCTAGCCAAGATGGCTTAACAGTAGTGTATGGAAAGTCGAAAACTAAATTTGTATGGAAATGACAGCTTCGTGTACAAAAGTTTTCATACAAATTTAGTGTTTTGACGTTCTACATACACTACTGTTAAAACGCAGTACTTGACTTTAAGGTCCCTTGATAAAATAAATGCTTTTTATCTTTCGTGCCCTGTGGGCTGCCCCGAGGTGTGGGCATTGTTGAAAACGTATTTAATGACTTAAAGGTCTTTGTCAGGTACCTAGGGGCGTGCGTTTGTCAAGATGCCTTAACGGTAGTGCCTATTAGAACGTCAAAAACTAAATTTGTATGAAAACTTTATCGTTAATTTTTTATTTTTTTTAATTTATATAATGCACGAACTGTCATTTCCATACACACTTTTGTTTTTTCTTTACTACTTTTCTCTTGACATATTCAAGCTACTTGTAAATATGTGAGGAACATGTATACCATCTTAGTAGTTTATTCTAAGAGTACATTGTCTTCACATATAATTATTTAACAAATGTAACAAAATATTGTAAACCTATTTTAAAAGAGTAAGTGTATGTTTCTTGACCACTTCCCAAAAACTACCTTTTGGAAACTTGTATCTTTATGAAAACTTTTCGACGGCCAAGAAAAAACGAACTGTCATTTCCATACAAATTAAGTTTGAATATTCCGACTGTTTGTGGACGTTAACATTATACAAACTACAGGCTAAGGCATCTCGGCATAAACGGCCCCAGGACAAGACAAAAAAAAAATAAAAAATAAAAATGTGGGGTGTTTTTTTTGATATCCGTCTTCAATTTGTTCCATAACACAGTAGTATTTTGCGTATGAAAAGAGCGTTTTCCGACACGTTGGAACTGTCAGTTTCCATACGGAAAAATGTAAGCTTCTCCTCGACTTTCTACATACACTACTGTTAAGAGCATCTTGACTAAGGCCCCAGTATATAATGTAGAGGCACTAAAAGAAAAAGTATGCTTAATATTGAATAATCCGATCGACGTTCACAGTCTATTTGTAAAAGTAAACATTTGGGGGCCTCATAGCCTAGCGGTCTTATTAAGTGGCAGCTAGGGGTGGGTTCGATTCCCGGTTCGAGGGCAAGTTTTAATTTAATTTAAATTTGTTCTCGGCCTTTGGGAGGGTTGTGCGGTACCGGGCGAGTGCTTAAAACCGTACATGGAGGACACGGTCGAATTTCTAAAGACAAGCACGAATTATAAAAAAACAACCTATACTTTACTCTGGCTAATGCACAAATCGTGCCAGAGCCATAAATAAAAATAATAAAAAACGTAAACATTTGGCCAAATATGTCAGAACGTGAGTGTCTACTGTCAAGTGTCATAAGTTGATGGAATTTTTGGGATTTTCATATTCAGTGCACATGGACATTAATTTACTACGGAGTAGGAGTACGGTGTTGGTGTTATCTAAAAACACGTGCAAATATGTCGTTTTGAGATTCAACATAATTTGATATTTGTGAAAGTTTAATTTTCTATTTAGATAGAGTTAAATATATGCGATTACATTATATTATGAATTAAATATAAATTAATTCAAGATGCCAGACATGAAATATATTTTAGTGACTGGAGGTGTGATCAGTGGCGTGGGAAAAGGTGTCATTGCAAGTTCTTTTGGCACGATTTTAAAAAGCTGTGGTATTGATGTAACATCAATAAAAATCGATCCTTACATAAATATTGATGCTGGAACTTTCTCTCCATACGAACATGGTATGTTAAACCTGAATAAATATGCTTCTAATTCAAGAAGTGCTGTGTTAATACTATGCCGTGATTCTATTTATATTTCTTTTCTAGGCGAAGTTTACGTTCTTGACGACGGCGGGGAAGTTGACCTTGATCTTGGAAATTATGAGCGCTTCTTGGATATAACTCTGCATAAAGACAATAATATAACAACTGGTAAAATATATCAGCAAGTGATTGAACGTGAACGTCGGGGTGACTATCTTGGTAAAACTGTCCAAGGTAGTGATTTCAAATTGAGTATTCAACAGCATTTTCTATTCATACCTATTGAAAATTTTTTGTAAAATGAAATATTTAATGTGTTCTTATAGTTATCCCACACATAACTGATGCTGTACAGGAATGGGTTCAGAGAGTTGCTCGCATACCAGTAACTGCTGACAACACACCACCAAGAGTATGCATAGTGGAGTTGGGTGGAACTATTGGTGACATTGAAGGCATGTCCTTTGTAGAAGCATTCCGACAGTTCCAATTTAGAGTTAAAAGGGAAAATTTTTGCTGTGCTCATGTCTCATTAGTTCCAATGGTAAGAGTTCATAGTTTTACATTATCTAATAATATAAAGAACAGGAAAATATAGTGCTGGATTAGAATGACAAATTTTGTTCAAAGCTCATGTATAAAATGCTGAAATAGTAGAAATATGATATCTTGTTTTAAAAAACAAGAATTTCATAATAATTATATTTTGTTGTTGTAAGTAAATTGAGACGTAATACAATCAGCAAATATTTGTTGAAATCCGATTTAAATATAATTATTTACATAATTTTTTTTTCAGCCAAAAGCTACAGGTGAACCTAAGACAAAGCCTACACAGTCATCAGTCAGAGAATTGCGTGGTCTTGGGCTCTCACCAGATTTGATTCTGTGCCGCTCTGAGAAACCTATTAACCATAATGTTAAAGAAAAGATTTCAAACTTCTGTCATGTTGCTCCAGAACAAGTATGTATAATATTACCAAAAAATACTTGTAAATGCAAATTTCAATGCTATAATTTTTTTTTGTCTTTCCTGTATTTAGTTTTAATGTTTATGTCTTTACATTTTATTGAATTAATTTCTTCAAAAAGCCTAATTTTATATTTGTTACTAATATTAAAATAAATTTACAGGTTATATGTATTCACGACTTAAGCTCTGTATATCATGTACCCATGTTGATGGAAGCTCAAGGAGTAGTACAATACCTAAATGAGAGGCTTCAATTAAATATATCTATGCCCCGCCCAGGCAGGTATGTAATACATGTTGACTTTACAGTGACAACAAGCAATTACAATCATTTTTTTATAAATGTGCTCATAGGAATGTTTTCTGCATTTCATTAATAAGAAAGAACACATTTTAGATGTTATGTATTGTAGATCTTATTTCGTATTACTAATCTCAATCTCCTATAAAATTAGATAACCATGAAGAATCAACATAATTTTTTATCACTATTTATTAATAGAACTAGGAAGTAAATATATTATAATAGATCAAGGACATTACCGTTGTATATGTTACATTATTAAAAAAAATATATTATAGCATGAGAGATATATATTATATACCTCTTTGAAATAAGTATATAAAAAGAGTTAAGATGCAGAACTCTTTTTTAAACTTATTTTTAAATATAAAATTTGTCATAGATGAAAACAAATATAAGGTTTATTATTATGAAAATGATTGTCTTTTCAGTTTTATGAAAAAATGGCGCAATTTAGCCAAACGAGTAGAAAACCTTCGTAGAGAAGTGAATATTTCTCTGGTTGGTAAATACACCAAGTTGGAAGACAGCTATGCAAGTGTTACGAAGGCATTACAGCATGCTTGTATTACAGCTGGTTGTAAACTCAATTTGACGTACATTGAGGCAGTAAATCTTGAAAAACAGAGTAAAATCGATGACCCTGTTGGCTATCATAAAGCATGGCAGGATCTATGTAAGAGTGAGTGAGTATACATTTGATTATATACTAATTTTTATTGATGTTAATACTTTTCAAACTCATCTTGGAAGATGATATTTTATGTGAATTCTCAACTTAATTTACTTAAGTACTTTCAAGTATGTAGTAATGCAGTTTTTGTATTTTAACATTAAATAGTAGTTTATAGTTTTTCTTAATTTTTCAGTGGTGTTATAGTACCAGGAGGTTTTGGGCAAAGAGGACTAGAGGGAAAGATTGAAGCTTGTAATTGGTGCAGAGAAACACAAAAGCCGATGCTTGGTATTTGTTTAGGTCTACAGGCAGCAGTTATAGAATTTGCTAGAAATGTATTAGGACTTTCTGGAGCAAATAGTACCGAAGTGGACCCTAACTGCGCAGATAAATTAGTTATAGACATGCCAGAGCATCATCCAGGAAAACTGGGTGGTACCATGAGATTGGGGAAAAGGAAAACTATTTTGGAACCCAGTATTGTAGGTTAGTTATTTTTTTATTTGTTAATCTTAATCAAATCTTAATTACAAAAAGCACTATTGATTTTTTATAGTGTTTAGTTGGACCTTAATTAATTTAACTGATTTTTTGTTAGCTTCATTATACAAGAAAGACGAAATAGAAGAGCGGCACAGACATAGATATGAAGTGAACCCGGAATATATACAGAGGTTGGAGGCAGCTGGTCTGCGGTTCGTTGGGAAAGATGAGACCAAGACTCGTATGGAAGTGGCTATTGTAGAAACACACCCTTTCTATGTAACTGTGCAGTTCCACCCCGAATACCTCTCAAGGCCATTGTCACCCAGCCCACCTTTCTTAGGGTATGTATATAACAGTAATTTAGAAAAATTTAACTGATTTGATATATCTGTTACATTCCTTACCCAGGTACAAAATTATTTCAAATTTAACGGTTTTGCCTTATTCATAGGTATGTGTTAAAGTTCATTTTGAATTTAATATTTCCTAACTTTATTTTATTTCCTAAGATTTATAAATAAAACCTTATATTATATAAACCATATTATACCATATTATTTTATTATTATTATTTGGTTTTGTTTGTAAATTTTCTTTCTTTTCGTTTTGTTCCTAAGTAACCATTTATTTCATATCTGACGTTACTCAGTAACAAATAATAGAAAATTTAAATTAAATAATTTTGTATCAAATTTCAGACTCATCTTAGCAGCAACGGGTAAATTAAAGAGCTACTTATCAAAAGGATGTAGATTTAGCCCAAGAAGTCAATCCGATGTTAGTTCCGGTAAGTATTTTATTTACTATCTTTGAAAAAGGTTCTAAACTAACATCTAAAACTATTTGATTTTTTATAAGTGATCCTTTTCTATGATCTATGGTGGAATGTTTATAAGGGAAGGAATTTGATTTGTTTCATAATGAGAGTATTCCTGTCAGTCATCGGGTTATTATCGTTATGTATTATGTAAAAAGTGCCAGTTTTCGTCCATTCTACTGCCTGTATTTAGAACTGGCAGTAAATGTAACTTAAGAAGCATTATTTTTTTACTGACTTTCATAAGTGTAAATTAATTTACCTATTAATAAATTATACTTTGATTTTAATAACAAATTTATTTTTTCAGATGAAGGTGACCTAGATGAAGAAATATCTTTTGGTACACTAAACATTAGCAACAACAAAAATGGGAGTCTTGAGCCAGAGGTGAATGGTATACATTAAGTATAATTTTAAGTTCAAATAATAACTTGCCTATGCGCATATAAGATTTTTTTTGACCTTGATTGCTGAAATACCTTAAATTATAAAAAAGTTTATTATAGTTCTCTCTTTTCAAGATACCAGTGCTATATTAATGTAGTGATTGCTATACAATCCATGAATTGTAATAAAACAGTGCACATGTAACATACCAGTGAGCTTTTTACCCACTTGTAAAATGATGATTAATTTACTTACTTAAACACAAATATTGTGTTGCTAATTTTTTTATTACTGCTAAGTAATATTCATTTGGTTATCAATCTTATCTATTGATTAAAATAATTCATCCTTTCCGTCAAGTTTTTGTATATTACTCAATATGATTATGCTAGTTTATAGCATGAATTAACCGTTCAACGATTTCCATACATTTGTTGTAAATTACTATACTATTACTATTCGAATCCGAAAATCGGACGTGCTATGAAATGCATATATGTAGAACACCACATATCCACCGCAGTGCTACTCAAACATGCATTCCTTTCATTCTATTACATTATTTGTGCTTATGGTGCAAAACTGCAGGTAAATGCACCTTTTGGATTGTTTCTTTACAACAGAATGCTAGCAGTCAAAAGCACTATTGTTGGCGAAAAACAAAATAACATGTAAAACATGGAATTTTAACTATAATATTGAAATTATTAACATAACATATAGACAATGGTATGTCAGAAGTTTTTGAAAGCTATATTTATATATAAATATAATTGATGTTATACTATGGGATTGGTTATTGAAAATTATTTTATCATCTGTAGTTTGTAAGATAAAGTGATATGCTAATTCATACCATTATACAAAATTATCAGAATCTCCTACTCGGTATTGCCAGTAATTAATATTTTATGACATTTAATTGTATTTTTATAAACATATTTAAAACTTAATTGGTGTATTATCAAACGTAAGATCAGTCTAGACATCCATAGAAATCGTAATGGTTACTAGAATATATATAATCTTCTAGCGGATCCGCCACCCGTCCTGTATACAAATAATACACATATAATACACGCATACTAACAACATATATATTTTTATCTGAACTTTAAATCGCAGTTTTGAGAACTTCAATTTAATTGTGTATATATGTATACTATCTGTAAAACAATACACTAATACTATCCGGGACACGGTTGATTGCTACTTTTTGTAATTATTAAATTTTATACTTAATCGTGGTAACAACACTTTCAAATGTTTTATTACTAGTGATAATACATTGCTTGCTCTGTTTGAAACTGCGGAGTATATGACATTTAATATCGCAGCAATGAAAATTAAAATCTCACCCCCCTCTGAACCGTTAAATTGTAATGTAATTCCAAAACTTTGTCAGCGCTAACACATATAATTATTATGGATTAGTTAGCAGGATTTGTAACTAAGGGCACTAGACCTCAAAGCCTTTCTATGCCATTTCTAGTATATTATTATTACGATTTCTATGTTTGTTTGTTTTACCAATAATAATATATATATTATTATTTTTTTTTAAATTGGTTGAATTTGAAAATATACCTTTTAAACATATTTTGTCTTATCTGTTGTAATAAGCATAATACTTTTAAAATATTGTAAGCATTTCTGTTTAAACCAAAATGTTTATCGATGTAGTACGTCTAAACCAGACCTTACAGTGTTGGTTTATCATAATTACTATATAATATAGTTATATACTTAATGTAAAAATGTTACGCCATTTGCGTTATATTTAAATTTTAGAAACGAAAATGAATTTTCGCTTTTATAACAAGGTTGTTTTGCAACTAATAAAAATTGTGATTGTATGGCTGTCAGTCGCTACAAAAGGAATGTAGGTTTATGACGTATTAGCGTTTTTTCTGAACTAGAAAATATCAACATATTTTGTTAATGTATTTTTCATCTCTAACCCCGTAAATTGTCTAAAGTTGTAACCATTCCAGTTAAAGAACAATAAATAATTGAAAAAACAGTAGCGTTTCATTTAAAAACATGAAAATCAAGACTACCTACTTAAGAATACCTAGAGTAGGGGAGCCCACGATGCTAAATGGGGATTTACTCAAGCGTCATAGAGACATTGAGTTGCGAAGCTTAATTAATTAAAAGGAAAAAAAATTATATAATGTAAAGTGTATAGGTATACACTATACATTATATAACATTTTTTCCTTTCAAATTGCAAAGGTTTGCATCGGTGGGAGAACTGTAAAATAGAACAGCGCCATTTACATACTTAAGCGCGTCAGATATTGATAATATGTCCGTATTTTTAATAATGTACGTATGTTAATCTGATTGTTTCCATAGGTAAGGGTCGAAATTAAGCAAAAAGAAATTATCGAGCGCGTCAGATTTTCTAAGGGGATGTTAAGTGAACCTAAAACAAGCTATCATCTAATAATCTGACGATTTGGATGTGACGCAAGCTCGCGGCCATTATTAGAATGTGCCAAAAAAACTCCATTTTGAAATACTCAAGCGCATCAGATTAACATATATATGGTTCATCTTTATATCCTAGACGTGTCTCATAATCTGACGATTGTCTGGAGGGATTCGCCTAATCTGATAATTAAAAATATATATACAGGTGTCCCAAAAGTCGACGTCAAGTCGAAATTTTCTCATAGGTAATTTCCCACACCAGTTATCAGAAAAATAAAAAAAAATTAAGTCATGTATTTTTGAAGTTATGGAAATTTTCCTTTTATTCCAGAAAATGTACACCATATGACAGTTTTTTCATTCCTGTTGTTACAAATATTTACTTTTTGCCAAAATTTTTTCTCTTACGTCATCCCGAATAGTGTTTTATATAGTGCGTTTTCCAATTACAGAGCATTTTGCGACTCAGTGCCGCACAATGCCGCATAATGCTGAAGCTTAATTGGAACGTGAATTAGTTTTCAAATGCATCAGCAGAGTGCGCTAAGTCAGTGTTGAAAAAAAAAAATGTTGAATTTGTATGAATTGAGTTAGCAACCTCATTAATGTATAAATTATGTGGTAAACAATAATAATTGGTTAAAAACTTTTTACGCTTATTTTAATCATCAAATTATTTCATTAACATTTTTTTTATTGAAATAATAGAAAACCTTTAAAGAATATAAGGTTTTAACAAGCTAAATTAACAGTAAAATATTTAGTTTCATGTAAGAAGTTTACATCATTTACGTTTTGAGTAATATTTTTTAATGATTTCTAAAAAAATTATATACTTTTTCAAAACCATTGCAATTTTTTCTAAAGTATAATCCTGTAAAATAAATTTGTTTACAGATACGAATTTTAAAATAAAATTGTATTCATATTTTAAATGTGGAATATAAAAAAAAGTAACTATTTATCATCCATACTAATAGCATAATAATATAATTTTTTAGCAGTTTGAAATAACTTTAATTATTTTCAAAATCTATGACGAAACGAAAGCCTTACAAATTTTTCAACAATAAATAATATTTACTAACGAAAATTTCGATAAATGCCAACTTAAAGAAAAATACTGGTCAATTTTCTGTCACTGTGTTGGTATTGTTTGCGAGAAGCTCGCGTCTCGCGAGAGCATTCGTTTTGAGAGTGCTCAATTGTGCGAAGCGTTGCTGTAGTTGGAACACTCGACGTTGAGCATTGTGCCGCAAAATGCGTTCTAGTGCTGTAATTGGAAAACGCACATAACCTATGATCCTAAACTCTGTGCTGATCACTCCAACTTTTAGGAAAATGTCATTTTATACCGTACCAAGTTTTCAAAATTAATTTTCGCACTACTTCAACTGATCGTCGTGAAAAAAAAATACTACTCCAGTTTGGCAAGTAGCTTTAAAAGTTAGCGCATTTAATAAGGATTCTACAGTGGTATAACACTGAGTCCATTATTTCTTAGATCGGCCATAAGAATTTTTTTTTGTTAAACAAAGTCTGTTTTTAACAATCTCTTTGAAATTACAACAAATGATTCTAGCGAACCCAAAACGTTCCTAATGACCACAGCGTGGTTTAAATAAGATGGAGAGAGACATTCCATAAAATGTGACCGAGACAGATAGTGACGCTTATGACATACGGACGCAAATAAGTAAAATAGACAGTTTCTTTTTATGATTAGATTTATTACTTTTTTTTTCCGTCGTTGCGGGTATAAGTGTTGACACGTGTTTCGGATATCATTATTTAGTATTTTCTATTTTTTCTCGTAGTTTAATGAATATAAGTTGACTTATCCTATTGGTGGTGGTTAATTAATAACATCAACTAATTACGTAAGTTATTTTTATTTATTTGTTATATTTCTCCCTTTACCTTGTTATATTTTTGGTAGTCTATAATGGAGAAACGCCCTCCAGACCCCCTGATCCTCCGGATAGGGTCTCTTCTCCGGTGGAATCAATGGATTTATCCACCCCACTGTTGCCCCAACCTGGTGTCAAGCGCAGACTTGATACTGTCAATGAATCTTTAGTGGAACCTTCCAAAAAACCAATGACTGATGTCCGATCATCTGTTGATGACGTCAACACAGGATTTTACTCCCATCCATCTCTCACTGGCTCTCCCAAGTCATACCTTGTCAATGACAAGGGCCCTTTTTTAGTCCATGTTTCTTGCCCTGAATCTGACCCATCCGCTGGTACATCAATCCGCCCAATTAAATTTGGTCACTTTTTGGTAAAAAATAAAATACCCAACATTGTTCGAGATGGTGTTAAGAGAGTGGGATGTAATAGAATATCTGTTGAGTTTAAGTCGGGCTTAGGTGCTAATAATTTTGTGTCTAATCCCATTGTTCCTTCCAGCAATTATTCTGTTACGATTCCTTACTATAATGTTTCCCGTATGGGCCTTGTGAGAGGTGTTTCGGTCGAGGGGTCGATGCAGGAATTTGTCGAAACTTTGGAAATTCCCGAAGGTACAGGTATAGTCCTCAAGGCCAGACGCCTAAACCGCAAGACGAACTCCGA